CGAGTAGTGGCAAAACTCCATATAGGAGGCAACTTTGCAATCATGCACCCAACCACGAAATTGCCAGGGAAGTCACACTTAATGAGTTCAAGCTTGTTTAACTATAGAATGGTTATTCACAGTCGTGTAGTCATGGATGCTCTCCATGACGTATAGTTCACTGCCTGCATCTATTGTACCGAATTTAATATTCAGTGCATCCCCTAGCAGTTTCTTATATTGTACGTGCATGTACACACCATACATAGGTCAATAAGGACAATCCAAATTCATCCCATAAAGAAGTATTGGCTTGTAGAATTTCGCTGATCTTCAATTGAGATTCCCTTTGGCAAGCCATTAGCAACCTGAAAAACTTTCAGAGAGGTAAGCCAGTTTGGACTTCACTTCCCACCTCTAGAAGTGCACACCGGTAAATTTATCCATAGAAATTAGATATAGTTAAAACAGAAAATTGCGTACAATTAGATTTTTGGATTGTTGGGAAATCAGAAAATTCAATGATTAATTGCAGAATATAAATCATGATTAAATTAATTTTTCGCATGTTACCTCAAACATAGTAGATACATTAAACAACATCAAAAGTAGCATAATGCCAGCACCAACCATAATTTAAGATTGGATCAGATGACATCACATGTGCTAGTCATTTGAAGATGGAGTAGTGGTGGCTGATGCAGATACCATGCTAATGAAAACGATGTTGGTGACGAGTTGCTGATGGCGACAGAGACGTAACCCGTGGCATTGCCTGACTTGGACAAAAGACGATCGATGTTGACGGGTGTGAGTACTTGCATGTAGCGCTTTCGGGAACCTGATTCTCCCTTGCATGGTCAATAGTATTGGAAAGCCTACGGTGGCATGCCAAAAAGAACTTTGGTGGCTTGTTTCTCCATGCCACATATAAGGCGTCATTCATAATTGTTAATGTTCGGGTGATGAACGTTTAGACGCTACTAATGGTGAACATTGACACGCCACTAACGGTGAGCGACAATAGTAGTGTGCCCTCTAGTCCACATGCCACTAATATAGTTTCCACGCAACTGAAAACAGTGTCGTGGGAGCGTTTTACTCTGATGTGGCAACATCTGTGATTATCAATATAGACATTTCCAAATTACCATACAGTTATATATAGAGGTAGAAACTATGAAATTAAAAAAACACAAGTAAGACAAAAGTTGCCTGAATTGGATAGGCATGCAAGTTTGTAACAACATTAATTAACACGCAACAACAATTATGTAACCAATTAGTCAAGATATCTAAGCAAGTTTGGAAGAACGTTAACACGCCCTATGACAATGTAACAGGGTACCCTAGAACTCCAACATCGTGAATCTTTCCTTTTACATGGAGTAAGGATAGTTTCGGTACTTGGGCTCTGAGATTTGGGGTGCGGGTTGGGGGGAGGGGGGTATCAGAATGCCTAATGTCCCTTGCTAACTAGTCGAGTAACTCCATCGTACTTGCTCCACTATTGTTGACCACACCATGGGCGTCGACTTCCATCCCTGGTTCATGATATTTGCAAACATCAAATGGATGTATTTGAACTCATCTCTACAATCATATCATGAGAGTTGCTCTACTCTTTCCTCCAATGTGATGATGTCAGATTGCTTTGCAAAGTTGTCTTGCTCCCGTAACTAAGCGTTCATGTGGTAGATTATGTAGCAGGCATCTATCAGTGTTTTCTAGTAATTGCATGCAGCAGAAGTTGGTTTTGTGGGGTAGGGCCAAGTACACAAACGACACTCCAGAAACCCATGGTCCAGAAAGGTACGGCCCAGAAAGACCACGGGCCATGACATGTCGTCATCAACCCATCAAGGAAAAAGAGGGTGTCTTAGGAAATGGCTAAGTCCCTACGGTCAGTTCCTAAGCCGCCCGTTAGACAAGATCTAGTAGTCGGCATGGGAGATGACAGGAGCAGTCATCTATGTCAGCAGTTGACGGCTACATAGTATACCTCACAACCACGAAGTTTTTAATACACCAGTTACCCATCGGTGGAATAATCTAGTTAAATACGGCAGCTATAAGTAGTAAGTTCCAAGGAATAGTCGGTCACACCTGAGGCCATAGATAGCATTTACATCAGCCCGTTACATACCCCCTCATAGTGCACTCTATATAACCCAGGAGGGGAGCATTAGGCTAAAGGTAAAACATTCAGGCCTTGTATCTTACTCCAAGAGCTAATGGCAGCATGGAAGTAAGTTGGTGCATCCACCGAAGAGGGCCTAAACCTGTATAATTCCGTGCGCGTGCTTCCATCTGCACCATTTGGTACATACGATTGCAGGTACATTCCTACCCCTGTAGTACTGTCAGGATTATATCAACGAAAGTGTGTGCATCCATCTAGTCAGGCGACATAGAGGAGGTGCTAGGTTTAGGGGAGTGGGGAGAGGGGGCGGGGGAGTGAGGAGAGGAGGGGAGAATAGACGTACTCTCTCCTAGCACTATCAGCCTGGCAGCCATGCTGTGAAATGACGGTTGTACCCCCAACCGAACAATCGAATTGCCCAACCTATGCCATTAGTGAAAATATCCGACAGGTCATGTTGATTGACGAAATATCCAATGGTCGGTGTCACTTGGGGCCAAAACAGAAGGGACTGCGGTGCCTGGTAAATCAGATCGAATGGCCTATAAGATCCAGTGAATGTGGGAACCTGGATGTACTGAGCTCTCTACATATAGGATAAGGGAGGGTAAATTATTATTAAGACCAGCGAACATACTTAATTTTACGATTCAATTACTTTTCACAGAAACAGTCACAAGTTACGAACATGGAAATCCTTTTGCTGCCAACAGAAAAATCCAGTATCCGTTGTGCTGCTTTTATTGGGCTCTTACTAGCGGGCCGACACTCACTCCTAGAGTCATACTATTAGACACTGCAAAGTGTTGTTGTAGTGAAGATCATAATGGAAATTCTGTTCTAGCAATTCACGATCATTAGATCATCCGTTGCTTCCCGTTGTCTCATGTTATAGTGTCTTGCCGTCTCCATTGCGTTCATCTCTTACCCTCGTGTCTTGTTTATGTAGCTTACATCACGCTAAAATTCATAAATAATTTTAGCCGGTGGACCGCGGTGCAATATCACCCGTGTCAATGGATGATTAAGCTAGCGAAAGTTATAGATACATTTAAAACATATGACCTCTTGGGAGACGCGCGGATGGATGATGCCACGACGGTCTATCCTTTTTGAAGCGCAAAATAGATAGACGTGTTCCTCATGGTCATACCATGTTCCTCTCTTGGGCGTCACAGTTACTCTACCAACATTACTGATTAGCGTGTTAGTAGACGAGGGCTTCGATGGTATCGAGCAGCGCTTCGCTGTGCACCTTTTTTTTTGGGGTGCAATGATTTGTTGGTAGACTTGATTAGTTGTTCTTCTTAGTTCGTCCGGGGTCTTCTCACTAACTCCTCCACCCCTGTAATATGTCGGTTTCGTTTTATTTATTTAAAAAGATCTAGACAGTGTAACAACGGAATCCTATTTTGTGATCTAGGCAGTAGTAAGGCTGAGCTGACCACGATCGATCGAGCGAATCCAGCTTGCCGACAAAGAGAGAACACATGACACCGACAAATTCCAAGGATTCCCTTGGCTGAAAAAAGAAGAAGAGCAAATTCCAATGAAGCTTCTTAGTGTGAATACTAAACGGAAATTAGCTGTCCCGGAGCTCAATTAGCAGAGTAGTGTGTACACATGATCAGTGCAGGCTCCAGATTCCCAATGCATTTAAAGATCCCACATGGAGTCGATCGATCGACGCACACGATGCCGGGCAGATTCCCCGATTCCACACTTGAAGTTTTGAAGTCAAGATCACACCACCATACTTGAATTTAATGCCGCAATCAGGTCAACTCTAAGCTAGTACTAGTACGTACGCGCTGTGGAGCTATGGTACTACGTATATTATGTTACAAAAATGGAGCTGATGTACGGAGGGGAACTTGGTACACCCGGGTGCTACGCAAAATATCTTAGTAATCGCAACAAATTAAAAAAAATCATAACTTTTTTAGAGTAAAATGTGATGAAATGTTGTACTCGTACAAAAAGTTTTTCCTATACAGAAACTCTTCCAGAAAAAAGGGAACTCTTTTAGAATCAAATAGCTCCAAGGATACCATTAAATCATTTTATGACATTTTTTCATACAAGTGCAATACTTAATCATGTCTGACTAAAATATACTAGTTCATAATTTTTTTGTAATTACAGTAGTAATTTATTTTGTGCATATAGCTAGGAGGTTCACCAGAGTATTTCTGGGTGATGTACTTGTTAATGAGTGTTGCATCTCAAACTTGGCAAGGTCTATAAAACCCTCCAAGTGGGGTGCCTACCGGGAGCCTCACTCTGGAGTGCTAGAGTCCGGAGCTTGTGGTGCAGCAGTAGCAGAACCAGTTGGTTGGTTACACTCTGCTCAGTACTAGAGCTCCACTGTATCTCCACAAGCTAGCCAACACCAGAGCGAGAGCCACTCAAGTGAGCTGAAGCAAGCAAGGCATCCAACCTCCCTTACCTTGGATCTGAAGCACGGTTACAAGGTACGTTACTTGTGCACAGTTTGTTTGTTCATCCATCGATATAACCTCTGCATGCTAGATTGTAATCTTGCGGCAAATTCTTAGAAACTAAATGTACTATGCTCATATATATATAGACATATATAGGCGAGTAACAAGTGTATCATTCCGATCGAGAGGCAACAATCCAAGGGACGCATCACAAGATCTTGGATCAGGGGCCAAGACGGAGGCGGTGGGGTGGGGTGAAGGCCAAGCAACCTCACATGCTGTGTTGTTGGAACCGAGCTTAGCAGCTGCGCTTCCAAGAACACATCGTATCACTAACCTGGGCTGCGCTTCCAAGATCTTGGAGCTGAAATCTCGATCCATCGAGCAAGCAAGCTACGCTTTATTCACTGAGCTAGTGATCTGAGCAAGCAGCCATGGCGTCGTCGTGGTGGGGCGACAAGGAGGAGCACGGCACGCCGGTGGTGGTCAAGATGGACAACCCCTACTCCCTGGTGGAGATCGACGGCCCCGGCATGGACAGCTCCGAGAAGGCGCGGCGCAGCAAGAACGCCAAGCAGTTCAAGTGGGTGCTCCTCCTGCGCGCGCACCGCGCCGTCGGCTGCGTCGCGTGGCTCGCCGGCGGCTTCTGGGGCCTCCTGGGCGCCGTCAACCGCCGCGTGCGCCGGAGCCGGGACGCCGACGCGGAGCCCGACGCCGAGGCCTCCGGGCGCGGCCGCCACATGCTCGGCTTCCTCCGCGCCTTCCTGCTCCTCTCGCTCGCCATGCTCGCCTTCGAGACGGCCGCCTACCTCAAAGGGTGGCACTACTTCCCTCGGGACCTGCCGGAGCACTACCTCCGCCAGCTCCCCGAGCACCTGCAGAACCTGCCGGAGAACCTCCGACACCTGCCGGAGAACCTGCGCCACCTGCCGGACGGCCTCCGCATGCCGGAGCAGCAGGAGATCCAGGGGTGGCTGCACCGCGCGTACGTGGCGTGGCTCGCCTTCCGCATCGACTACATCGCGTGGGCCATAGAGAAGCTCTCCGGCTTCTGCATCGTCCTCTTCATGGTGCAGTCCATCGACCGCATTCTGCTCTGCCTTGGCTGCTTCTGGATCAAGCTCCGCGGCATCAAACCTGGCCTCAAGGCCGCCGCAAGCAAACGTGGCAGCAAATACGCCGATGAGAATGACCTCGAGGACGGCGATGATCTCGGCGCCTACTTCCCCATGGTGCTCCTACAGATGCCCATGTGTAACGAGAAAGAGGTTCGTGGTAGTTTCTCCACATGTACATCATGCATGCTTTGTATCTGTTTGATGCTATATTTCTCATACATTTTAATGAACTGACGTGTAGGTGTACGAGACGTCGATCTCACACGTGTGCCAGATCGACTGGCCGCGGGATCGCATGCTGGTCCAGGTGCTGGACGACTCGGACGACGAGACGTGCCAGATGCTCATCAGGGCGGAGGTGACTAAGTGGAGCCAGAGGGGAGTGAACATCATCTACCGCCACCGGCTGTCGCGCACCGGGTACAAGGCCGGCAACCTCAAGTCCGCCATGAGCTGCGAGTACGTCAAGGACTACGAGTTCGTCGCCATCTTCGACGCCGACTTCCAGCCCAACCCGGACTTCCTCAAGCTCACCGTCCCACACTTCAAGGTTTTTTTTTCTACTTTATTAATTAGTAGTACTGTTAATTAACTCGACTATCGATGCATTGCTTAAGGTTAACTCCGTCGATAAGCATGATAAAAGAGAGATCTACTACCTAGCTAGCTGAACTAACTTTTACGCTCACGCATCTAAGTCCACATGGATCGATCTCAGATTTGGCAATTGACCTACTACCTCTATAAACAAATATAAGACGTTTTAGATCACACGGACTGTATATCTAGGTCCACATGGATACTACTTATAAAACTACAAATAAATTCACTTTGAAACTACATGTGTAGATAATGGATGGATATTTGTTTGTAGGGGAACCCGGAGCTTGGGCTGGTGCAGGCGCGTTGGAGCTTCGTGAACAAGGACGAGAACCTGCTGACCCGGCTGCAGAACATCAACCTGTGCTTCCATTTCGAGGTCGAGCAGCAGGTCAACGGCATCTACCTCAACTTCTTCGGCTTCAATGGCACCGCGGGCGTGTGGCGCATCGAGGCCCTCGAGGACTCGGGCGGCTGGATGGAGCGCACCACCGTGGAGGACATGGACATCGCCGTGCGCGCCCATCTCCAAGGATGGAAGTTCATCTACCTCAACGATGTCAAGGTAAGTTATACTACTCCCTCTGGCCCAAAATATAAGAGCGTTTGTGACACATATATGATATCGGATGCAATCTAGCTATGGCCAAAAAAGAAGAAAAATGAAGCCAATATACATGTGTATTTGTGTAGGTGCTCTGTGAGCTACCGGAATCGTACCAGGCCTACCGGAAGCAGCAGCACCGGTGGCACTCCGGCCCCATGCAGCTCTTCCGCCTCTGCCTCCCAGCCATCATCAAGTCCAAGGTGATTTTATTGATTAATTCATAGTCACACTTGCATACAGATCTGGTGCTGACTAGGTCCTTGTATGTTTGTTTAATTGCATGCAGATCCCGCTGTGGAAGAAGGCCAACCTGGTGATGCTCTTCTTCCTCCTCAGGAAGCTCATCCTGCCCTTCTACTCCTTCACGCTCTTCTGCGTGATCCTGCCGCTCACCATGTTCGTGCCCGAGGCGGAGCTGCCGATCTGGGTCATCTGCTACGTGCCCATGATCATGTCGGTGCTCAACATCCTGCCGGCACCCAAGTCCTTCCCCTTCGTCATCCCATACCTCCTCTTCGAGAACACCATGTCGGTCACAAAGTTCAACGCCATGGTGTCGGGGCTGTTCCAGCTGGGAAGCTCCTACGAGTGGGTCGTCACCAAGAAGGCCGGCAGGACCTCGTCCGAGTCCGACATCTTCGCGATGGCCGAGGAGACCAACACCGCCACCAGGCCCGCGCCCAGGCTTGTCCGTGGAGTGTCCGAGGCTGGGCTGGAGGCATGGGCCAAGACACATCAACTTGACAACAAGGACCTGCAACTGAAGGCCGAGGCAGAGGAGGTGACATCACTGGCAGCCGCGATCAAGAAGACCAGTAAGGCCAAGCCCCCCAACAGGATCTTCAAGAAGGAGCTGGCTCTCGCCTTCCTCCTCCTCATCGCCGCGACGCGCAGCCTGCTCTCGGCGCAGGGGCTGCACTTCTACTTCCTCCTCTTCCAGGGCGTCACCTTCCTCGTTGTCGGCCTCGACCTTATCGGCGAGCAGGTCAGCTAGTGGCAAGCAGAAACAAAGCGACCCTACTTGCCATGCATCGATCACGACGACGCCGTACGCCCAGGCTGCATAGTGCCCATGGGAGAAATTTTGATCGATCAGGCTACTGGGATTATGACTTTTAGCCCTTCTATTAAATTTATATATCCTTTTGATTTTATTTTCTTGAGAGATCAAAGACTCAATGTTACATGAACTGTTCTTGTGGTCTAGCTAGCTAGCTAGTTCTCTGTTGGCAAAGTGAGAGGCAAGCAAGCCAGCAAGCAGGTTGTTAATTACTTTTAGCACACTACTCCATCCGTGAACAAGTGTAAGACATTTTAGATAGTTCAATATGGACTACATCCGAATTGAATGAGTTAACAAATACGCTAAAATGGGTCTATATGCATATCTGAATTAGAAAAGAGTTAGAACGTCTTATAATTGTTTATGGAGGGAGTAGTACTTTATTCGGTAGCCTTCTTCCGAACTCGGTAAGAGTGAGGATTTGGTAGCCACCGTGCGTGGTGCACCCAAATTATGGACCATTGGATATTGATCGTGCGGTCTCGTGCTAACTATGTCTTGTAGAAGGAATGACGTCTAAGATGCTGCTGTGGCGTACAAGTTGCAGGATAGGGTACACCATCGTGTTGCGGGAAATGTAATGGGCATCGTATGAGTTCGTAGGTATGTTCATCGTATGACCCAATGGTGGTATGTGATCTAGGCAGTAGTCAGCCTGAGCCAACCTTGCCGACATAGGGAAGCCCAAGCAGGAGAACACATGACACCATCGAATTCCAAGGTGAATAATATTAAACACCTGTAAAAAAGGTGAATTTTACACGGCAATTAGCTGACCCTTAGCGGTTAAATTTAGAGGGCGAGCTTAATTAGTAATAGAGCACAAGTGAATCACATGACGAGCCCAGCCTCCAGATTCCAAATGCATTTAAAGACCCCACATGGAGTGGACTCGATCGACGTACACGGTGCCGGCCAGATTCCGCCCGAGTTTCTAAGTCAAAGATCGCACCATCACTTACATGAATTCAATGCCCAAATCAGGTCAACTTGAAGCTAGGCTACAACTATGTCAAAAAGTGAGACAGGAGGAAAACAATGGTAGCTGATGTACAACCCATATTTAATGTTGCATGTTAGTGTTGTTGTACAACTATGTTAGTGTTGCATGTTAACCTTGGCTAGGTCTATACAACCCATATTTAATGCGAAAATGTGATTGAGTGCAACAAAAAATACATAACTGAATGAACTTATATTTCGCATGATAATAGTTTTTTATACACATTTTTATTTATTCAAACAATATATTTGATTCCCATTTTTTGTTATACCACATAGCAATTCAAATATAAATATTTTGGAAGAAAAGTAATTTAATTGTTCCAATTTAAACGTCTATAACATAAATAGTACTCCATCTACATAATATAATACCTTTTGGATCACTAAAGTAGTGTCACAAAAGTGATGATTTTAAATTCTTCTACTTCCTCTATCCCAAAATATAAGAACGTTTTTAACACTACACTAGTGTCAAAAACGTTCTTATATTATGGGATGGAGGGAGTATTTGTCTACAGAGGGAGTACTAGATAAACAATTGTCCTAAGGAGTACTTGACGCGGGAATACCTACGGGGTTGGCCCACGGATACATAATGGCCCAGCCAAGGGCTGAAGCGCATCAACGATATGGTGCAAGAGAGAAACAGACAAGGGATAACACACTAAGCCCACTGAAGTTACAACCCAGTATACCAAAGGACAGGGGCTTCCTCTCCAATGGACCAAGTGCGCACAATCAGATCCTACACCCCTGGCGAACAAGTATCAGCAGTCGATCATCACCATGACAGGGGCAGACGGATGCCCGGCAGTCGGCTACACCCTAGGATACCCACGATCTCCATGATGGCCTAATGATGTTGTTATCCGACGGTGGCATATATAGTTAAATATGGCAATTACTGGTAGTAAAAGCCAACAACAGTCGGTAGTTCTTCAGTAACATTTATTACCAGCCCG